ACCGAATCGAGAAGCGCGACCACACAGACAGGCGGAAAGGCAAACCAAGGACCAATCACAGCTGCTTCTTGTCTGCGCACTTCCACTTGAGGTCTGTGCGGGTTTGCAACCATCTGCCGCGTAGTCAGGATTTTTTTGAGGTGCACGATGACAGTTGCAGAACCTCTGCATGGTCGCGCACAGAGACAGATTTGACGGTTGCAGAGGTTATGCGTCAAACGCATAAATCGGCCTTTAGAGAGAGGAGAGGGCACATTGTGTGGTATTATTGTTTTTTATGCTAAGAATGTCACCAGAAGGATGCTATTAACCTGTTGTTTGGCCTTTATAGACAATTAGCTGAACAGGATTTCATTTAGAGGTTTAAAATCCCGTAACATTATAAATGACCCATCACACCCCCATCACAGACTGTTCTCCCTGCTGCCCTCTGAGAAGAGGCTTCGCAGCATTTGATGCAGGTCAAGCAGATTCCGAAACAGCTTCTTTCCCCACCAACTTCAGACAACTGGAATGTTGAAAAAACTCTAAATCATGTCACAGACTCTGCATTAAACTGACAACACCAAACCAAAGCACTGCATAATTGCACCATATATATACTACTTCTCTGGACTTCCATATCAATGCGGTTTTTTGTACCATGTTTTTTCTCCCGTGCTGTCTAAAGTTGATCACTGCTGCATTTTAAGAAATTGAAATGTCATGAGAGTTGTACTACATGAAATTTCTCATTGTACACACTCTGTGTATACAAAACGACAATAAAAGTTGTCCAAGTCTAAAGAGTAGAGGGGAGTGAAAACATCCATCCGTTCACACATTAAGATCAACATTAGTTTGCCATGATGTGCTTCGCTCCACTTTAGCATATATCCTCATTAAAAATAATAAAAAGTTAAAAAGTAATGAATACTCCTTCATATTTGACCTACTGTCTGACGAAGGTACAACACGCACTTCTAAGCACTTGACAGAATTCCATTTAAGTAAATCCAGAAGTTTTCCTCCAGGCAACCATTTCACACTCAGCTTATAAATGTGTTACATTTGATTTGCAAGTGATTGTTCAGTGTGATGTATACATCCTCTTATGGTTTCTATTATATCATCCATGCTCCAAAGAACTATCCGCTAAACAATTATTCACACAGACTATTTTCTATTTTAAGATACGTCTCATTGACAAACCGCTTTACAGCATCGACTGCTGATGATATCATGAAGCCAGTGAACAAAAAGCTAATTCAGAGTGCAAACGCATCTTCAGTCTGTAATGGTGCTCTGGTTTCCCACATTTATTTAGTTGATATGTGTTTTTTTTTTTTATATATCCCTTGCCTTGCAGACAGGGCAGAGCATTTTGCTGCTTTGCTTTTAAAAGAGCATGCATATACGCCACCCAAGATTATATGTCTGCATAATTTGACTATAGAAATCATCTCTGTTGTCAGTATTCTTCTTACAGGGGGGTTTGGATTAAAGAAAAATAGTAGTTGTTACAAAAAACATAGAACCAAATAAATAATAACCGAAGAAATCAGGGCTCTGCTTTAATGTTACGATGATCACTTTTGCTGTTTTTTTATGTATCTGTAAATCTGTGTAGGAATGTTCATGCATGTCTTTTTGAAGAAACATGTTTTGGTTTAGATTTTGCTTCATTTACTGTTAAACTATTTTGTGTCCTGTCACACAAAAAAAGATTAAAAGACATTAGCATAGCATAAAGCAGGAGTGAATACTTTTAAAAGCATGTAAGGCTTTTAACAATAAAGTGATTTCCAACTCATTGTATTTATCTTAATTTAGCGCAGTCAGTCGATTTTTATCATGTTCTTGGATACATTTCCAGCTTTTTGCATCTCAGAGGGTGATTCTAAGAATGAAAGCAGGTTGACAAGTTATCCAAGGCGATGATCAGAACATGCATTCATCTCTGTATTACAGCAGGCAGTCATGACTTCATGTAGATTACATTTCCGAGAGACGCTGGGGGGAAAAAAAAACCCTTAAAGCAGATTCACATGAATGAAACGGTCTCTCTCTCTATGTGTGGAAGTCTTATGCTTTATATGATTTTACATAAGTGTTACATTTTCCAATTTCACTGCAAACTAGAGGAATGCACTTGTTTTCTTCTTAACAGACAAAGATGAAAAGAAAGCTGTTTTATATTCATATGGCATTAATACAGTTTGTGTGCATTCTTATCAGGCTATAAGTCCAAGATATGGAACTATCTTAAAATGTGATATTGCTTCTCTTTGCAATAAAACAGAACTATAGGCTGCTTTTTTACCCAGAGGAAACAAAGTAGATAAAGAAATAAAAATGTCCCCTAAATTAATGGCTTTAATAATGTTCATAATTTAGTTATTTTCATTGTTTTGGTGATAATTAAAAAATAAATCCCCTATTAACATTTTATTCTGCAGAACTGTTGAGACTGCTGTTCTGTTAATCAAGATAAGGCACAAAATTTATTTTTTTAACACAAACACATATGCCCCTGAGGTGTTGTGCAGTGTTCTACTTCACTGCTATCTAAGCGGTCATACCACTTATATCTGCAGACATAAGCCCTGTCGACAGTGGAAATGCATGTAGGTTCTCTGTGTTTTTGATTTATATTTTTGTGATATCAGATCCCTTTGAATTTAAATCTACTTTGACCCCTCAGCAGTGTTAACTAAGTGAAAAATTGAAGAAATAAAACCAGAATTGCCAAAGTTGAAATCAGAATGTGTTTTTTGTTTGTTTTTTTGTTTTTTAGAAATGAAGATTGATTGATCTGTGTGTAATGCACAATTAATAGGAGATCAGGAAGTGTTTGCTTTTGGATGGAAACCTTGTATGTCTAAAACCATTCCTTTACTCTACATTTTGTCAGCTTGTCTGTCTCCTATTTTATTCAATATAATGTTTTGAACTAGATCTGCTATTTTCATAGATTTTGTGAGACACTTTTCTATAATGTATGGTATTATTTGATAAAAAGGTTTATTTAAATTGATTCAAAATTTTCTGCCCAACAGCAATGATGAACTGCACTGCAGCATTATATACCCAGCTATCGTAGTGTTGTTGTTATTGGAAATTGTAAAGGTTAACGGTTTTATGAAGTGCAACATAAAACTTACTTTAAGTTTAGTCGACTAAAACTGACTAAAACTATCACATCGTAATGACTAAAATGTGACTAAAGCTTATAGTAGTTTCCCTCCTGAAGATGAAAACTAAGACTAAATTTAAGATAGATGTTGCATTTCTGCGGTACAGTCATGTAAAAACAATATTAAACCAACCTTATCATAAAAAACAAAGATTAAGCAATGAAGTGTCAATTAATTTGTGAATCTTGTGAATAAATCCGAAATAAAAGTAACATTGAATACCTAAAAGTGCAGTTTTCAGGAACAATCTAGATGATAATCTGAGTACTTAATCTGAGTATAAGAAAGCAGCCAGATAATAACCCTTAAATTATACTCTACTGCTTTTTTGTTATTATTTTGTCTTAAACAATCGATGTAAGATATTTAAGTTAAGAAGAAAAGGACCATGTTTTTTTCTTCTCGATGACTGTATAATGAAAGAATGCAGTTCAGGTAGCTAGATAAGACTTGCATTGATATGTTTGTTATTGTGATGGCTGAACACAGAATCTGGTGGTGTTTCTGTGCCCTTCCAGTAGGTTCTCACCTCAGGCTCTGCTCTCCTCTCTCAGGTTTACCTCTTAATCGCTAATGATGATTAATCTGGACTGGGAGCTTATTGGCAGCATTGTGTTATTGGCACACTGACAGGACTGTTAAGATGAATAACTATGCAAGTGTGCAGAAACGTGTTAGTCAGAGAGTTTTTTTTTTTTTTTAGTTAAATCCATTGATTCTGCATCTGTTTAATGTAGAAAAATGGATTTGTGGGAAAAGGCTTGTAAACCACATCTAAATTACTCAGATTTTTCTAATGTTAGACGCTCCCTTTATCAGACCAAAGCAAATGGAGATTTATTAACAGGCATCAAAAAGCCACAAAGGTGATTCCGAATGTGTTCCTCCTGCCGTGTTTGCAGGACATGGTTCGTCGGGGGGAGATTCTGGACGAAACCATGGAGGACGAGTTCTACCTTCGGCGTCTGGACGCCGGGCTGTTTGTTCTTCAGCTGCTGTGCTATATTATGGTGGAGATCAGCAACTCAGGAGTCTCTCAGGTACGCACCAACACACACATACTGACTTTGGCTTTTTAAATGAGTTTTCTCCCCAATCAATTATCATTAAGGCTTTCGATCAAGTAGCCTGTGGAAGCAGACAGCCATCAGGTTGTTTATGGGCTTGTTGTACCCAATTAGCTCACACAGTTTATACACCGCATCTGAGTCACCTAAACCTGTTAAGGGCTCCTTTTTATTTCTGTCATGAAAAATTAGACACTTTCTAATCACGTTTTGACCAGAAAATATCTTGTGTTCATTTTATACTCTTTAAAGGGAAGTAAAAATCTTTAGGTCCTTTAATTCTTCTTTATTAGACCAACAGTTGGTCTGATATTGACCAAGCCTCCGTGTTTTTATTAGTTATATTGATTGGTTGGTGTGTGCCATTAAATCGGAATTGAAAAAGCAGTTCTGCTCACTTTGTGTGTAAGAAGATATAAATTATAGTTATCCAGGATAGCTCATTAAAAAACAAATAGGTTGAAAACACATCTTAGTTATTTTATCACTAGTTTTAAGGGATGTTAGTCAGATGGGACTATATGTGGTTCTCATATGGACTAAGAGTATGTTTAATACAAATACAAACTGACTAAATGCTGAAGTTTAGGCGAGGTGCATGTTTTTCTTTTAAATGGTGCCACATTTATAATTCATTCTAGGTTAAGCTGTAGAGTTGAGTAGTTTTGTTGCTCAAACTGAGCCTATTTGGCCTCTAATCTCGTCATACTGGTCACCAGTTTGATCACACATTACTGTGGGATGGCATCTCCATCCACCAATGTGGCTGTGTTGGTCTCTACTGTATGAGAGCTGCTCGACCGATAATCCTACAGGATTATCAATAAGGTTTAGTTCAAAGCTGCTGGCAGGCTGTTCCATTTTTAAATTCTCCTACATTTGGAAATAGTCCTTTATCAGCTCTGCTCTGTCTGAGCAAGGGTTCATTCACATCTGAAAGTTGAATTTGTCCCTAAAAGTTAAGGTGTGGGATTGCTACTAGCTGTAGCATCTTGTCTCAATACTTTCTGTATTTAGATTGCCTTCAATTGTTTGTTTTTTTTTTTGGTTTGTTTTTGAGGAAGCACATAGCTACAGTACAGACCACAAATTTGGACACACCTTCTAATTTAAATAGTTTTCATGACTATGAAAATTGATGATTCCCACTGAAGGCATCAAACATATGAATTAACACATGTGGAATTATATACTTAACAAAAAGGTGTGAAAAAAATGAAAATATGTCTTATATTATAGGTTCTTCAGAGTAGCTTTTGCTTTTTGCTCAAGATCCTGCTGAGTTACAGCTGATGAGGCCACTGGCCAAACAGTGAATATCAAATTGTTCACGTCATGTGCCGCCATGTTTGGCACAGTTCAGTGCTGCTCCAGAGGAGGTAACAAAACACAAAACCAGACTAAGTGGAGTTCAGCCGACCAAAGTGGAGCTGGTAGAAACGGCGAAACTCAACTCCACTTCTGAACCCCAAACTTTACCCATAAATATGTTTATCATTAGGTGGCTCGAGCCAAAATGAAGACCCTATTGGATGCGGTAATCTTGGCAACATATATCTTTATCCAATAAGATGTTTATGTTTTTGGTGTTAAATGAGAAACAGACAAATGTAGAAGCTGAGGTCTGTTTTCTTTTTTCCCTCCTTGCTTCAGAGAACATAGTTTAGCACAGCTTCATGTTGGAACAGCAGCTTAAAAACAATCATTGTAATTCAGTTTTCCTTTTCCTTCTTCAGCTTCAGCAGCGGGTTCATCAAATTCTTAATATAAGGGGAGGCTCTGTCAAAGTGGTACGCCACATCATGAGAGGTGAGTACAGCTGTATGCATTAAAACCAGTTTCTGTAAAGTTCTTTTATCCAATAATACACCCTGGTTGTTTAGGCTTCATATTTGCACTCTGTGTGCTTAACATATCATATTTCCAGTTACATAAACACATTTCATAGGTAGGGGTGAAGTGATTTTCTCAGTGAAGAAACCTCAGACTCATACCAAAACTAAGCTTTGACTTATTTTATAGTTTGCTGTGAAGGAAAGTCCAGCTTTATGCAAGTGATGACTCTTAATCTAAAACTGATGGAGATTTTATCAGACATAATTTTTTAAATACGTATTCATCAAATTCATAGAATTATTATTTATTGTAGATAAAAGCTCAACTAAAAGCCATTTCCCCAAAGTAGGCCTCCACTTGGATAAAACAGGAGTGAAGAACTTGGTAACAGTACTAAATAAGTCTCAATTTTCATTCATCTACAGAATATATATACTTGTATTACCTGTAGGGTGTTAATAAAAAAAAAAAAAATTGACAATCATAAAATACATTATTTGTTAGTATGTTTTATGACATCAGAGTTTTCTTATATTTCATCCCTCTTGGAAAATTATGCAAAGTGTTTACAGTTAACAGTCAGGAAAAGTCAATTCAGGTCAAAATAATTGGATTTGGGCCACATTTGTCTGCAATGTGAATGTAGCTCTAGTTAAGTTATGTTATTAAATGAATCTTTCCTTAAGTTTCCTTAAACAATAACTATTACGGTATAACAATGAGAAAAGATATAAAACCTAGTAAATCCCTGAATTCTTTCTAGATGTGCTCTAGAACCCCTCATATCAACCATCCTAAGGCTCATAAACCCCAGCCTGGTTATTTGTTTATTTTTGAATGTATTGAAATTGATCAGTTTCCATTTGTCAAGATTACAATTTAAAACATGTTCAAAGCCTTCAGGCCAGCATTAAATCTGTACGCAACAGTCCAGTGCAGAGCGTTCCTGTAATGTAAAAGTAATCTGAAGGGTTTTGAAAGTCTTACAAGGTTTGATTGCCTGGAGAGTCTTGTTTGCACTTTTGTTGTCAACTGCCCTCCACTAGCAGCTTAGTAGCTGAGTCATTTTACAGTTTCAGCTGAAGTGGAAAAAAAAATCTGGTATTCGGTGTTGCATCTCCTTATTCTTTGTGTCTGCAAGGAAATCAGGATGTTAATCATAGAGAATCCAAACATTTTGACGTTTACTGTGCTTATATGAACAGGCATAAATTATGCATAAGAAACTAGTGGCTGAATTGATTTCACAGGAGAGAAAATTTAAAATTGGTTCCTTTTGGTTTTCGGCAGCAAAAATGACAGACCACATGCACACAACAAGCCTCTAACAGATGCTAACGGTGCAGAATGCAGAAGTTGTAGACATCCATCTTAGACTGTTGAAAATAGTGCAATCTTCAGCCTTGTTAAAAGTTCTTTATCAAATGCTTCCTCAGAATTGAGGTATTCTCACCATTGGTCTTGTACTTTACAAATATTGCAGCAGTGAAATCAGCCTTGCATTTTGGAAAGTGGAGCCTCCTCTCAAGTACTTTCTATGAGCCCTGCTTTTAGCGTAGCAGCAGCTTCTGATGCAATCACGCTATTGAGAGTATTATGTTGCTTTCAATGTCTGCCACTTTACTGTCCCTCTCCATCACAATGATGCATTTAGGTACCAAAACGGTTGGATTTTACCTGAATGGGATATTTATAGAGCCGATGGAATTAGATTAGTACCAATAAGAGTACAGATTTCAGTACCCATCACTTGGCCAAGGCAATATTGCTTCAAAATTGAATCTTCAATTCTTTTCTACCAAATCCGATCAATGCTTTTTTTTTCTCTCTCTCTCTGTTAAATTTCATAGGTAAAATGACTTTATGTTAATTATAAACACTGATGCAGCAGAATTCAAGCTAAGATTATAAATCAATGGTTTATATCAACAAACAATGAAAGTGTAACACAGGCATCCCCAAAGTCGGTCCTCGAGGGCTGCTGTCCTGCAAGTTTTAGAGGTTTCTCTGCTTTAGCACAGTCGATTCTGATGATTGCAGTTGAGCAAAAGCCTGTTAATCAGCTTTCAATTAAAACCAGCTGTGCTGGAGCAGAGAGACCTCTAAAACCTGCAGGACAGCGGCCCTCGAGGACCGACTTTGGGGATGCCTGGTGTAACACCTAAATGTTTGCAGCTTAATCAGCTCTGAGTAGACATCTAAAAACTAAAAGTCATTAACTTATACAAGTCTGAGCTATGGAAGACCAAGGATAGATTGATTGAAAACAATCTAGATTTCCAAAAATAAAATCTTTACACACAGAAAGTTTGACTTATTGATCAATCTGCCAGTTAAATCCTGTTAAAACATCTAAAGGAACCTTTTAAAGATTAATTTGAAATTGAATTGAAATCATGCCGCTTGTTGTGTTCACACGGAATGCATTTTGGGCATCAAAAATGTTTAAACGGCGAAATTTGGACGCCCGGTCAAACAGTGGTCAAGTTGCTTCGACGCTCTGGAAGCTCGGCACTTAAGCTAGAGATCAGCTTGACTTTCTTACTTCATGAGTTGGAAAAATAGTTTTAACACCTTTTAAAGTGACAAAGTCCACCTCCAAACATCTGTGCAGTCAGTTTATCAGGGTTATGATCTTATTAAAATTTGCAGTTCTTGTTCAGAGCGCCAGACCTTCAGCATACAGCCGGGAGGCAGCACTGGAAATCCCTGCTGGGAGCTCTCTGCAGTGGCCAGCCTGTGTGGGATTTCCCACTGCTGTTTGTAACCATTATAAATAGTTTTTAAGGTTTGTGGTAAAAACTGCAAGTACCAGAATTTACAATCAAATATAATAATTTATAAACTGTTTCACCATAGCTAATAAAAAAAATCATTAGTGGAGCAATAATGATCAGAGCTTGCACTCCTTTTAAACCTTTGGATTTGAACCTTTGATATTTTATTTATTTTTGATACGCAGACAGCTCTGCACAAACAATAACAGCATGTGTCTTTCTCCCCCAAAAAACTTCTGGATCAGCTTCTCTAATTGGTTGACGCTCTGGCGTCAAACAGCAAAAGTTCAATTTTCAATTTTCTCCGGCATCAATTCTTGGACACTCTGACGCCAGGATACTTGGATGCGCCGCTCTCGATGCTTTAAATAAGATTATGCATCTAAATCAGAAGCTTTGATGACCAAAACGCATTTGGTCGGACAAGCTGGGCAAGGAGAACATTTATCAGATAGGCGGCCAGCAGACTTGTAACTCTGGAGGATCTGCAGAAAAGTGGAGAGAATATATGTCATATACGGGTAGGTCATGCAATGAAAAAATCTGGGTGGTGGTTAAGTGGTAACAAGAAACCCACTGTGGACACAGGAAAGATCAGATGGCAGAAAACTTTTACTGCTCATTACCACAGATTTATGTTAGGGAGGACTTTCTTCAGCAAAGACATGAAAGGAAGTCATTGCTGATAGAAGATAAATTGAGTTAAATAAAGTTAAGTCCATTAAGAACCTGATAAAGATTCGAAATCGAGGGTAAAGGGTTCTAAACCTACAGCCAAGAGATAATAAATGGCAAGACATGAAATGTTGTGTTCATAGAAGCTCACCAGCTGAGCTTTATAAAGTTTACCACCAGAGGCAAAGTCCAGAAGACTTTAAGGCGATTTTCCTGCCAAAGAAAGTTATTTACGCTGAAGTATTTTATTTCTAGCATTTTACAACCCTCCCAAAGGCTGTTAAGTTTGTCACAACTTGACCAACTGTGGGAAGGTTTTAGGGATGGAAATACTTTTCTGTGGTACTGTGTTCATTTTTATACTGAAACATCTTTAAAGTAAATATTCATGTAGAGCACATCTCATGCCTCTATAGAGACGATGTTATAGTGTGGCAGCTCTGACATGTCTACCGAATATAAAATACCGATGGGAAATAAAGATGTAACTGTAGTAAACGCTGGGAAATACACCCGGGCAGAAGTGTTTATTGGTTTTTATACATACTGGCAGTGTTCAGATGATAAAACTCTACACTCAGATGCTTCCTGGCATGTATATTTGCGCTGCAGTGTAATCAGAGCCTCCCCTGGAGAATGAAACAGACTTGTTTCTGCTTTAACATTCCCAGTCCTGCCGTATTTGTTTTTTTTTTTGTTTGTAGCAGGTGTGTTATTTTTGTCCTTGTGCGCCATCCATCCTTCCTGTTTAATCGTCGGGTACAGCTTGAGCACGAGGCTCCGATCACACACCCTCTGGCCTTTGTGGCGCGTAACGCTGTAGATGGAGTCATCCGTCACACTCGCCAGCAGCCGTGGCACCTCTCAAGTCCTCCAAGCACGTTTGTGTTTGTGCGCACATACGGGAGGATGTTGTTGTGGGTGGCGTCGCTTTAGTGCTCATCTGCATATTTGCATATACTTGTGCCTGGCTTGTCTTCACACTGTTTTTCCTTACTAACACTGTTTTCTGTGTTGATAACTCAGTTTCCACTTTATTAATTACACATTCATGTTTTTGCTCCTGACTTTAGTAACTTTGTTTTTAGGTTGGTATTTCTTTTGCATTTGCTTTCCATGCCTACCTGTAGTGTGATTTTTCCACATCGCTACTAGTTATCTGTCTGTGTCTATTTTAGCCAATGATCAGAGCATCCGATCGCCCTTAATATATTTTTGCCTCTCATTGTGTGTCCTCACCCTTTTCAACAGGCCAACTTCTGCAGACCTTTCCCATTTTAAGTGCTCCTCCTGGTCAGCTTGAAATTGCAGGAAAAGGTTAAGTACATGCAGAGTGGGCCACCGACTGAGCTGTTTTGACCCTTAATGGATTTAGCTGGCCACATTTAAAGCTGCACTGCTGGATGAAGATATCCTCACCCTAATTCTGAGGATGAGAATAACATCCTGTAAGGTCGGGCTTCATTGATGAGGTATTTGGTAGCACAAGGAGAAGATTCAGTCACGATTCACCTCACACAT